CTCGTGACTTGGTCGGCGAAGGGTAGGCGTGGGCGTGGAGTAGTAAAGTAATCTTGGGCGTGGAGGGTAACCCCATCTCCTAGGGGTTTGTGGGGCGCTGCTGCCAGGTAGGCGTCGATGGCCGCCTACCTGGCCTACCTGGCCTACCTGCCTTTCGATGGAGGGGTCGCGAGCCACTGGTGCGCGAATAGTCGTGGAGGGTTACTACTCTCCAGAGTGAATTGCGAAAGTGTTATGTCCTAAATTGATTCCTGGGAGGGCGGTTAAAAATGGTTGCGGATAGGGGTAGGGGAGAGAGGTCATATTGCGCCATGTTCTTAAATGCGCCACACCTTCCTCCTGTCCAAAATTCGATTCGAATGAAGGCTCGAATGTGTGCATTTACTTCACCACCAATAACTCGCTCTTATTCCGGTCCACGGGGGCAGGTGAGGTGTCTCAGCTTTCTCGCAGACCAATTTTTGTGATTTCCTCTATTTTCTTACGCGAAACAGTCTATTTCGACCTTTGCTAGTGTCATGGTTTATCTTAGAGATAGTGATTCAACTGATTATCATTGTTAATTGCTCGTTTAATGGTAGTTTTGAAAGTTTATCACCACCGTGGCTTCGCTGTCCTCGCCATATTTGAAGCTCATGAAAAATGTGTTCCATTCGTAATTGCGCCCACCCTATTTGCGCCCTATTCTTCAACCCAGAGAAACAGCATCTGGTGGTTGGGACACATTTCATTGAACACTTTGATTATTAGAGCGCTCACCTTACCATTACCTTAGTCTTCACAGCATAAATGGTTAATGGGCTGACACGTTCAAATAGGCTACTTAGTTAGGTATCAAACCGTTGTTTTTAATAGGGCGCTTTTACATGAGAGGCATGGGCGCTTTTTGATGGGGTAGTCCGTAAATGCGCCCTTTGCAGGTGTGTCGGAAAACTTTTCTCTTGTTAATTTTTATGGGTGTGATACAAATTAGGAGTTGTAATTTGATGCCAAAATAACTGAGGTACAATTTGAGATATCATCAAGCATGACAGCTGGTCAAATTTAGCCGCAATAGGCCGATATCCTTAACGTGGCGCAATATGACCTCTCTCCCCTACCCGCGAGGCACCGGTTTACTCGCCAGTTTTGGGTGAAATTGTTTTCAGTGCACAGACCATGCCTGCATACAGAACAGACCCCATACGCAGTGATAGTTCAGAATTTGCTGCTGAAATCCAGCGACACGACACGATCACCACCAATAAAGGCGTTATTTAAATATCTCAGCCGAGTCTCACTGCACAGGGAAAGCTTTGGTTTGATAATGCCTCCATTGAAGAGTTTCGCAATAGAACTTAGCGGCCATCTACTAAAGCAATTATTTTGCTGTTGCTGGTAGGTTAGGAAACAACATTCACTATTCATGCAAGGCCAATACTTATGCTGCCCTAATTTGCTAGCTCGTGCATTTATCACATTTACGTCAATGTATTGTCAGTCACCGTTCTAAATTGTCATCGCTCTGGTTATTAAGGCCAGCACGACCCGTCGAAAGCCTGCCAACTGGCGCCGGCTTGCCAATAAAACTCGTGAACAGCGTTCACACAAACATGTTACACTCTGGCGAGCATGAACGCTGTCCCGATTCGCCAGTTCCAGAGAAAAGCCGGCCTATAACCGGCGCCCGCCTGAGGTTTTATCCCATTGTGATGCGTCACACTGCACGGCAGCGCCATTCTGCGGTTCAGTCGTCCGTTTACAGCGGCACAAGCCGTTATCACGGGCGCACCTCGTCACAGCCGACTCTGTCACACCCCTCCACCTCTCAGCCGTCAGCCGGCGAGCCGTGGAGGCGACAGGCCATCCCGACCGTCCGCCGAGCGGCGCGAAACAGCGCGCGGAAACGGGCGGAACAGCGTCGGTTCCGGCCGGCCTGCGGCGGGGTGCGCTCGGCGACCCGCGCCGTGACCAGGATTTCACGGGCCGACTGAGGCCGCCGCTCGTCACCGGAGCAGACGGCCGGCCGCTGACCTCTCTGTGAACGTCCTCTCGGCACCACGGCGGCAGCGCGGGCCGTGCGCCGCGCACGTGCGTGCCGACAGGGCCGGTGACGCGACCACAGTGCGCCGACATGGCTCCGAGAGAGCGTGACTGGCTCACAGAGATGACAGGGAGACGGGACACCGGAAACGACACACACTGAACAGCGGCTATCAATCACACGACAAAATACGGTGACAGTGCATAACATGTTGAACATGGTGAATGACCACCCTTGGGCTGGAAGAACTGTTTGCTTGTGATTTGTTCTTAGTGGCTAATGACTGCGCATGTTAAAGGTAAGGTGACATTAATCAATGGATAATAAGATACCTTTTTTATGTAGACGGCTAAAGTCAGGAGGCCGGCTTCTTGCGAACAGCTGTTTAAGAATCATAGTTCTAGCTTACCTATACACGCTGCATATAAACTTGTTACCCTATACCGGGAGGGTGCAGATTGAACATCGATCTCCTGACTTTTCATGGGGTCATGTCACAGTTCCGTTACGCTATGAACACTGCGCAATGAAGCGAGGCTGGAGGTATCTGTGAATTGCGAAACATAAACACACCACCCCGCGGTCGAGCCCAATAGTCTCACCGACCGATGGTCGCTGATATAGGGTGAATAACTCCATTGTCGAGCACCGCCATGTGCAACTCTCGGCTCAGTGGGTATTCCGTTACGCCGTTGGACATAGCCGACTGGTCAGTGCCGTCACATTTACTGGGGATACCGGGGCAGGCAGACTTCTATCGGTTATTCGTTACGCAATGTGGGTACTCAGCGGCGGAACGCTATATGGGCACGTTGCTCTGGTCGATTGCAGTTAGCTTGGGTACGGTTAGCGGACGGCGTCTGCAGTGCATGGAACTTCCGGGAGGGGAGTCATGATGGAACTAACGACGCACCTATTCCTAGCCTTCTCTTCTTCTCTTTGACATTTTCTCATCTTCATTAGCCTACTACATCGATCACCAGCTGCGAAGCGTACGCAGTCCGGCCACAAGAAAAACGGGCCTAAAACCGTCCATAAGACACGCACTCCTGTCATCGCCCTTGATAGGATATCCTTGAACCTCAGACCCCGGGGCACCGACTATGAAGCGACTGCTGCCACTGGCCTCGGGCGGTTTTCACTAACATAACTCAGTAAGGCACCGAGCGCCGGGCTAATTCTGGTGAAGTCATGATGGCTAATTGGCTGAATTTGGTAGCATGATGTGCGGATTTTAGCCACCATATTTACGACCCATTACACCAGACTGTTCTTCAATACCAGTTTCATGATGTAGTTTCCTGAGTCCTTTAACCAAAACATGGCAAAAGCGCCACGTCTGAATGTGGAAATCACATGTAGATTACGAGGAAAACCTTCAAAACAATGGCGGTTGGATAAAACTGCTGTCTGCACCTCGGCCGTTAAATATATTACGGCTCGCCGTGCCGACTGCCGCAGACGGTCTCGGTCCGCGGCTGTCCATCAGTTCGGTCCGGTGGCGTTCTGGGTCGGGTGACGGGTCGCGGCTCGGGTGACGGGTCTCGGGTCAGGTGACGCCACCCGGCCGGGTCGGCCGCTCGGCCGGCGGCGCGCCGACCCGTGCCGCCGACAGCATCTCGGGAGCCGAGACAATCCCCGACTCCGTATTGTTTCCTGCCGGCTGTGACCGGCGCGGCGCGTCACGTGATGCACCCCGTGACGGTGTGTGACGCCGCCAGGTCAGGTGACGGTCGTGTCACGGCTGGGGCCACCGCTGACCGCTATAGCCATTGGCGTGCACGGAAGCCGAGCCGGGGAGGCGAGCCGCGCACTGCGTGCAGTGGGCTCCGCCGTCAGACAGGCGTCGATTCAGTCCCACCGCGACCACCACGCCCGCTTCCCTGGACTATCGGTGTGGTGGGAAGTCACCGCCATATGACTGTCATTCGTACCTGGGTTTGCGGTTGCCGCAGGACCGGCGGCGCTGTCGGCGGGTTCGCTCCGGTTCCGCGGCCGCCCCGCCGCCATGTGCAGAGCCCGTATGATGGTGGTTAGACGGACAGACAGGTGTCAGTGACTCAGGTGATCAGCCTCGCCCGCAGGGCAGACAGGAGGGACGCCAGTCACCGGTAAATGACCCTTCAGCACGGCAGGCCAGCATTACCAAACGTGCTGCGATATACAAGATCGGATCTACAAACTGACAAACAGCAGTGTTCCGGACATTTTGTAGATTGGATAGTGGACATACCGACGACAGAGTCCCAGCCACTTTTGGCACACCAACGGCAGTGTTCCGGACACTTTGGACACACAGATAGTGGCACTTATAACACCTCACTTCCAGTGGCTAATTGCGGGACGTTCCGAGACGTCACCTGATTGCTCGGTTCCGGCAGCCATAGGACGAGCTCGGGTTTTTGTGTGGTACAGTTGCGATTAAAGTCGCCGTGTGACAAACAGTGCCAGTTTTTACCGAGTACAACTCCCCTTACCACATCAATGGGATTTAAACGCTTTATAGCAGTCTGGTTTTTACTGGGATCAATTAGGTACACTGTATTTTACGAGGAAAACAAGCGCTGATGATTTTATACTTATAACCTGAAGCTAACTGGACATTGCAAAAAACGTTTTTTTTTAGCACAGTAGGATGTAAGCGATAGACGTATTGTTCGGCGTTCGTTGATCGAACGAATGCATTGGCCCATATACCTACTGACGGCATACCTTTTATGTACCTATAAATAGAGCTAGAGTTCATCAAGTGGGCACTAACAAATACCTTGCTACATTACTAACACAATGTTAGTGCGTGGCGTGGACCCATGCCAAACCGACGTCGAAATTTGCGGAGACAATTCATGCATACACGCGCCTCCCGACTTTTCGTGCCAGCTCTGGCAGCACTCGAAATGCAGAGCCGTGTCGTACATTATAAATCACCTCCTCAGCCCGTGTTCTCACCGCCCCGTTGGTCCGCGTCTGTCGGCAGGCTCGGAGCCGGAGAGTGAGGGCCGGCCGGGTGTCCGGCGCCGGCCGCCGCCCTGCTCGGCGGGCCTGCTGCGGCCCTGCAGCTGCCGCGCGCGCCACTGCGCCGCCGCCGCCGCCGAGCTCGACCCGTGGGACCACCGCGCCATCGAGTACGTCATGGTGCCCAAGTCGCAGTACCTGTCGCTGTACCGGGCCAACCGGCTGCTGCGCGACCCGTGCTGCTGCCAGGGCCTCGGGCGCGCCAGCAAACTGTGCGACAACTGCCTGCGGCCTACCGTGCTGCTCCGCTCACCGTCGCCCGCCTCGGCCGCCGGGGTGGGCGGCAGCGGGGGCGGCAGCGGCGGGATCACCAGTGACGCCGCCGGCAGCACCAGCAGCAGCGGCGTCAGCAGCATTCACGGCAGGCGGACGGCCGCGCCCGCACCGGCGCCGGCACAGCGAGCGCAGTAAGTCAGCGGCGGGTCTTAAATCTGCGGTATCTGCTGTATGGCATGAAAATTAATTTGCTCGCGCTTATTGCCGATAATACGGGTTTAGTAAAATTGAGTGTAACCATACCTATTGATCGACCTTTTAGTTACCTCAAATAACCGGCTGTCGTTAAAAAGGCTAAGAAACAAGGATGCAACAAAAATAGATGCTCTCGGGAAGTCGATTCGGTGATAAAAGAGAATGCAATGGAATAAGATGCCCAATGAACGTTTCCCTCGCAGGACGCTGCTGCCCCGTCTGACCAAGAGCCAGCCGGCGGGGAAGAAGGCGGCGCGACACACCCGGTTCTCCAGTCAGGAGCTGCTGCTGGATTACGACTCTGACCAGCAGGTGCTCCGGCGCGAGCCGCCCGTCAGAGAAAAGGCGCACAGGTGGGTGGCGACAACGGCTTGTCCAAAAACGATGATCAATGTCCAAATACGACCGATTTCAGAGCATCCATACTGTTGCAGCCTAAAAAACGAAATAACGCAGCGCTATATCGCAAAGAATAAAAAATATAATTCTAATTCGAGTGCAAAAAAGTGTTGGCTGGGCAGTGGGCACTGCTGATATAACTTGCGTACCGAAAGTCGAATAGCCGTGTACCTTTATAATTGTGAGTCGTATAAATGTGAACCGTTTAATTGCGAGTCACTAAGTTGTCGGCAGTTCGTGAGTGTACCGTGAGTTATATAATCGTGAGGCGTATAACCGTTAGTGTCCCATCGTATCTCGATTCTCGAGCGTACCGTGAGTCGCATACTCATATGTCGTATAACCATCCCTGTCTATCCCTTGCCGCCAGCTCGCGGGCGGGGATCGTGCTGGCCGGTAACTGCCACGTGCCTCTGGACAGTGGCAGCGGCACCACTCTGCGGCGGGGACCGATGAAGCTCGACTACACCGACAGCTGGAGGTCGCTGTCGCGCAACACCAGCTCCCCGGCCGGCAGCTGCGGAGGGTCACGGTGACGGCTGCGACCCCAGAGAGAGCAGTAACTGCAGCTCTTAGTGACAACACCAGCTCCCCGGCCGGCAGCTGCGGAGGGTCACGGTGACGGCTGCGGCTCGAGGGACAGCTGCACCTCCGGCGGCAGCAGCTGCAGCTCTCGGCGGCAGCTGCAGCTCTCCAGCCGGCAGCTGCGGCGGCTCGCGGTGACGGCTGCGGCCCGAGGAAGGGCTGCAGCTCACCAGCCGGCAGCTTCAGCTCTCGGTGACAGCTGCAGCTCCCGGAGGACAGTAGCTGCAGCTCCCGGCGGCAGCAGCTACAGCTTCTGATGGGGAACACCTGCAGCTCTTAGTGACTGCAGACTGCAGGTCCCGGCGGGCAGCAGCAGCTGTAGCTCTCAGCAACATCTGCAGCTCCCAGTGACAACTTTCCGGGACATGTTTGTCAATTACCGCTCGAATGTATGTGTGGACGAATGTATGAACGTATGAGCATTTGTTTGAAAGGTGAACTCAATGACTGGTGTTAGTTGATTGTGTGATATGATATTGAAGTTGTGACTTATTGTTCAATCAATGTTTATCCATACATCGTGAGGATTCCTCTTTATATTCGGTTCGATTGCATTAGCTGCAGCCCGTCTGGTTTCTATGTGTCGTGTCCTTATGGTCGTATATTTTATATTGGTATCCTGGTAAGAAATGCGTTCGTAGGCGATAATTAGTGCTTATCATGGCGTTGACTACAGAGACACGTGTATCAGACATTGATCGCAAGGCGAAGACGTATGCTGATGTTCATTTACAATTTACAACATAGTTATGCAGTTACGGTTTCTTTCGGAGGCGTGCTTTCTGCAATACGTCTTGCTGAGCTATATCAATACATGTTTTGAACCGAATAGTTTTATCACTTTTATTGGCTTTCGACGCTGTCTCACCTTGAAACTAAGATATAAGATTAACCGTCAAAGATAGTTTTATCAAATGTGACCCATGAAGAAGAAAAAATTACCTGGTGATCTACCAATCATATTGTGAAAAAAGAAAGCCCATTAATGAATATTATTGAGTATGAATGTTCAAATGAAGTTTATCACAGTACGACACAGGCACAGCGTCGTGGTGAAAGGACACCATCCCGCTGCCGGCAGTTTGGTCTCACGATGGATAGCCCGCCGGGGTAACCGCGCTCGCTGGCGCGCGGTTCGAGCAGGATTTTCGGTGGTTGGTTTGAGGCTGAACAGCTCTCGGACGCCGGCAAAAACCACCTCTCACACAGGCCGTTTTTGGCCCATCCTTTCACAGGCGGTGTGAACACGTGGGACCGCAGTGATGCAATGGGCACAAAACACCACTGTGGGTACAGCCGCACCAATACGGGCCGCGGTCGGCAGACCACAGCGAACGTAATGTGCCGATTAACCGGCTATTGGCTCTGAGCTTACTCATCAAATAAAATAGCCACCTCACCGTGAACAATGAACATAATTGCATAGGGTGACTCGGCAAACAGAGAAAATGGCCTTTACGAGAAATGGTGTATCTTTTTCTATATTGATCAGTATTAGTGATTTTATCAGTCTCGTGTTTTAATCTCGTATTAAAGGAATGTCCCTTCAATACTCAATGGTCCTCGCTAAAGGGATGATCCCTTTAAAACCATCAGACCCATTTATTCATCAAATGGTAGGTGCTTGTTCAATTTTTCATTACTAATGTCACTCAATTTATGACTTCGGTCTCTCCGGGAGTGAGCCTCACAGCCGTCGGTAGTGGAAGCCTCATGCGTGTCCAGCTTCCACTGCCGGGACAGCGACAGTCAGAGACTGAGGCGACGCGGACCGTCACGCGTATCAGGCGCGCCGCTCTCTCCCGCGTAATTCTTTTTTCCACCCAAAGGAAGGCGCTATACAGAGAATATCCCATTGCGTCATTGAAAAGTGACTTACACCTCTCACCTGCCAGCTGGCTGCGTGGTGTAGTGGAGAGCGCACTCGCCTCGTGATCAAATAACTAGGGTTTGATCCCCGCTGCCGGCCGAACTTTTTGGCGCGTTGTAGGTTAGGTTGTAGGTTTGTAGGTTGTAGGTTTGTAGGTTGTAGGTCTGTAGGTTAGGTTGAAGGTTAGGTTGTAGGTTGTAGGTTTGTAGGTTGTAGGTCTGTAGGTTAGGTTGTAGGTTAGGTTGTAGGTTGTAGGTTTGTAGGTTGTAGGTTAGGTTAGGTGAGGTTAGGTTATGTTTGTTTTTGTTTGGTTTGTTTACCAAGAAGCATCTTCGGGTATAGCGCCTTCCTTTGGTTGGAAAAAAGAAACACGCCTCTCTCCCGCCGCGGCAGCGATCGCTCGGCATTGTCCCACACCTCAGCACCGCCGGGGTGTCTTATGTGGTCTGCACAGTCACGTGACGTCCTCTGACCTCTACCGTCACGTGACGGGCGAGAAGATCGAGTTCGATGAACCGCAGTGCAGCTTCAAAGCCCGGCCATAAAGCACCATTCGGCATGAATTGTTGGATGTGAGCCACGTGTGCTCTCACATTTTATCAACCAGTTCCCAGGTAAGTTACCGCGGCGGATAGTCTGAGCCTTCATCAGGGAACGTCGGTGGTGCGAATCGTGAGTTTGCAATGCTGTTGGGTAACTCGAGTTTAACGATGAGAACTGAACAAACACTTCGTAGGACAAAAGACGCAAACATAAGGCCCAGCGAGGCCCGATAACCAGTAACACTTACCATTGAGACGTTATCCATGTCCCGGCTTTGCTCGTCTATGGTCGCAGGATGGGCGGAGTCTGAATCAGTTAGTTCTCTTCCGGTGGCGCCGCAGAGGTCAGGGTGCCCATGTCCCAGAAACGGCCCCCGACTGTGACCACGCGCGGTGAGGTGACCGCGGGCTGTGCCGGCGGGCCCGCGAGCCTGCCGCGCCGTTACACGAGCCTTCAGCGCCGGAACTGTCGCACCGCTCCGCCCGCGGGGTCCGCCGATTACCAGCTGATATACTCATAAATGGCGGTCAACGAACAGCTGAGTGGTTTGCGCGCCCGCGCCGGGAGGGCTGCTGGGTGATTTGTACAGTGGACCATTTAGCCATAGCCCATAGTGAACCATTTAGCCGCCGATTAGCTACGGTGTGCCTGGGCGTCATATCTTCGAAATCACAGCCTGCAGCAGGTGACATTTTTAAACGGTAACACCATGGATGAAGTAGATACTGGATCGGCAACTCCTCGATGTTTGCGACCACCGCTAGGTGGCAGTGGTGTCGAGCGCTAAGGACGCGGGGGAGCGGGTGCTATTCAAAACAATGGTCGGCGTCGCGTCGTAGGGTCGTTTGCCTTGTTTTTTGAAAAGTTAAGCCCCTTTGGAGCAGATTGGAAGGTTTCAGAAGATGCAGGAAGATGGCAAGGTAAGATTGGTAAGGTTTTCTTATGGTTGGAAGGTCTGAGTGGCCTAAGATATTACTGTAAAGAGGGGCTGTTGACGATACTGGCGCACATTGCTTCTCGCCGTATGTCGTCAAAAATCATATAATTTGGGCCGTAATTGGTTTATCACATATTTATATGTTCAATTTTATGTTCTTTATATGTTTGTTATATGTTTGACACATCATATCTCAAGCTTATACATGCCGCTGATGATATAGCCATGGTTTTGTTTGCGACACAATTTCGGTCTTGGTAGCGCATGATAGGTGGTGGATGATGCATTGTTAGTTGTGAATTGCTTAAGTTTTTGATATGTTTTTAGTTTGGCAAAATCAGCTAGTGTACCTATAAATTGGTCCACTGCTCACTGCTCAGTACCTACTCACTGCTCACCCATATCAGTTTCCTACGTGTTTCTCTGAACGGCTGACTAGAGTGCAACACACTTCAGGACTCAGGAGCAGTTAACTGGCATCATGTCATTTCAGCTAATTTTTATAACCTGCTTGCCATTTGCCAATGCCCTGATTTCAAAAGTAGAGTTGAATGATATTGGATCAAAAAACACATTTAAATAAATCATGTTCTCAGCCTGAAAAACTGAACCATTTGACAGTAAAAAGAAAGCCTAACGGCAGCCAGTGTCAACCACAAAAGAGTGCCGACCCTGGTCCCTGACATCAGCTTCCTTCTTTTCTCAAAAGTCGAAAGGTCCAGAGTTGTACGAAGAAGTTTGTGAGCTTCCCTCCATTGAATGATATATAACAATCACTTTTTTAGAACGAGTGCTAGCCAAACTGTGTAGATATCAGATAGATTTAAGTAAGATCAAAGTCATTTTAAACTATGTAAGCCTAGCAGATGAGGTGTTAAGCTTTTGGGTACTTTTGTTAGGTAGTATCCTGTCAAGGTATTATGATTTTTTTTTTTGCTCAACATCATTGCAATGTAAAATACTTTTTGGTGATGTTGTGGCCTGTGGGGAAACAGTTTGCCTTGGAATGCCCTCACTCTCCATTTCATTATGGTATGCTCAGGTATCTAATTTCCCTCTCTCTATCTTTGTTTCAGATCAGAGATGGGTTCAGTTTTCACGGTGTGCTGACTTGAATTGGCATCCTGTGATTTGTGATGTGAATTATGATGCACGCACTCGCAGGTGCACGCCCGCTGCGGACACGTGTGACGTGACGGCAGCAGGCGGACGGGGTGTGAACTGTGAACTGGCTCGACCGAAAATTGTTTAAGCTATCACAGCGTGTGTAACTGACTAACATACATATGAGCATACCCATTGAGCGGATAATGCGTTCGTGTGCATTATCGTGTTTGCATTTATTCCCGATATACTCTGGTGGGAGATGTGAATTGGAAACCAACTTGGTGCTACGACACCGTTTAGTAGGCATGTGGCACGTCGTTTCTCGAAGACTTCCTATCAGTCTATGTATTGTAAACATTGTGTGTCATCTTTCACCTTAGTTGTCATTTGAACATGTGTTAAATTCTGAACCTCAGACCGGAACAGACTAGGAAATCGCACGCGAAATTCATTAAGTTGCAATAGCATCAATCACACGCAAGTAGGTGCGTGCTATGGATGCGAGTGCGACCGGGGTTTATTTGAATAGGCTCTCGGTCTCGCACATGATTTCTGACTGCGGAAAGAATCGGTTTCAGCCTGTACTCAGTAGGCAATTCGCTCATGCGACGGCAAATATAAGTTCAATATGGAAACAGTTTTTTAACGAAACGGTGTATGGTAAGCTTATAATCCTGGAATGCTTCTTGATAGAAATTGTCAGTGGTGCAGATATTCGTTAATCGATATGACAGCATTTGTCTTGATCTTTATAAGTCAGTCAAAATGGCTGTAGCAATGATTTGGATGTTTCACGGCGGACGGCACATTTCCTCTGCGGTCTACCGACGACTGAGTTGGAATGCTCAAGCTGATCAGGGGCAACCCGAGTGATAGACAAAGTCGTTTGATCGAAGGTATTTTCAGGCAGCTGGCAGAAGGCGCCTGGCCTGGCCATCGCCATGAGAGCTAACAATACGACGTGCTGAGGTAAAATCGGCCAGTCGCGCTCGGTAAACAACCCACCACACCATTCTTTCCAAAACGATACATAGTCTATGGAACCGCCCTGGACCGCTCTTCCGGAACCCGACACTGTTGGCCTATGCCAAACTTAGCCGCGGCTGGTTCAGGCCATGTAACTTGCCGGTCATTTTCGGACTTTGCTGGTATCGGCCGCTGTCTGACTGGGCGGCGGCGGCGGGCTGTCCTTAGCAGGGATCAGTCTGCTCGATAGGTGGCAGCACTTTCGGGCGGTCGCGCAATACAATGGGAATTCCGCGGAGTTGCCGATCCAGGTAGTAGGTAATCCATGGTAACACCATGGTATATGCGTTTTGTGCTGATCGAATGACTTGGTGCCGTTTTATTTATGCATGTAGGCATTA